TATATCTTTCAACAAGAATGGTTTTGTTTTATGTATAATCTTAGCGGTGCTTTGCTTTGTGTACTCTTATTACGCAGCAAAATACGCTCATTGAACCTTGCTTGTAAAAATGAGCCGCGTCACAACAAAACTAACATAGTGCGTTTACGACCAGCATGTATCCAGACCAGCCTGCGTCTCCGCGCTGTCTGATCAGGATCCATGCTGTTCGCTTACCAACTGTATTACAAGTGGAGAAACTGACAGCGAACAGCATGTATCCTGATCAAACTGCGCGGATCTGGATCCATGCTGGTCGCAAACGCACTATGTTGGTTTTGTCGTGACGCGGCTCAAATGAAATTTAGCATCATGCATCAGGATAAGTCATACTAATTGAAAGGAGCAATTGTCTGACTTGGCAACATGTACATATTTGGGTAACTTGGCTACATGTACATATTTGGGTGACTTGGCTACATGTACATATTTGGGTGACTTGGCTACATGTACATATTTGGGTGACTTGGCTACATGTACATATTTGGGTAACTTGGCTACATGTACATATTTGGGTGACTGGCTACATGTACATATTTGGGTGACTTGGCTACATGTACATATTTGGGTGACTTGGCTACATGTACATATTTGGGTGACTTTGGCTACATGTACATATTTGGGGTAACTTGGCTACATGTACATATTTGGGTAACTTGGCTACATGTACATATTGGGTGACTTGGCTACATGTACATATTTGGGTGACTTGGCTACATGTACATATTTGGGTGACTTGGCTACATGTACATATTTGGGTAACTTGGCTACATGTACATATTTGGGTGACTTGGCTACATGTACATATTTGGGTGACTTTGGCTACATGTACATATTTGGGTGACTTGGCTACATGTACATATTTGGGTAACTTGGCTACATGTACATATTTGGGTGACTTGGCTACATGTACATATTTGGGTGACTTGGCTACATGTACATATTTGGGTGACTTGGCTACATGCTACATATTTGGGTAACTTGGCTACATGTTTTTGTACACTATTTGGGTGACTTGGCTACATGTACATATTTGGGTGACTTTGGCTACATGTACATATTTGGGTGACTTGGCTACATGTACATATTTGGTAACTTGGCTACATGTACATATTTTGGGTGACTTGGCCTACATGTACATATTTGGGTGACTTGGCTACATGTACATATTTGGGGTGACTTGGCTACATGTACATATTTGGGTTACTTGCTATATGTACATAATTTGGGTGACTTGGCTACATTGTACATATTTGGGTAACTATTAAAATTGTCGTGCTTGACAATTAAAGCAAACGTTTAACTAAGCGTGTAAATAGTTTTTTGGTGTTTTTTAAGGAATAAATAAGTTGGGTTGAACTTCACCAATAACATTAGCGATGAGTTAAAATACACAGGAATATGAAGCACGAGAGGTGATACAAGCCGTCGATTTAATAATATCTATTTGAAGCTCACTTTACAAATACTATATTGATGCAAAATTTATAACAGTAACTCACATAATGATCAGCACATTAACAGAGTAATACAGATACGGCGCAGTCTCTACGTTGTGATAACGCCATTAGCGTTGACATCTAAACACACTCAAATTACTTCAAAGTATTTGCCAGTTTATGCCATACAAGGTCAGTACCTTCGAAACTTATGAGTAAATAAGTATATTCTTCTCTTACCGCAAGGAGTCATTTTGTTGAAAATAAAATTCGGGTGTCGCTATCCTTAATGTGTTAGCAACATAAACCTTTAACTTTAATAACTGATGTTTTATTGTGGGGGGGATATACACAAGCCAATAAATACATAAAACATTGTCGAATATAATAAACTCAAATCAAGAATATGCGTGAAGAAAATGAATATTATACAAAAATAATAAATGTATGAAAAAATCCATTTTATTACCTACAGTAATCTGCGGTAATTATATAGTAATTGCATCTTTTCGGACGTAGATTCTTTGAAATTCTATAACATGCAGCATTAGTTTTCAAATGGATGTTATTAAATTAAATTCATAACTATAACAAACACTAATTTAGTAAAAATTTTGTGGTAAAACAGAAAAACAAAAACAAAAAGAAGAAAAATCATCCCGTAACAATTTCGGAGAGACCGCAAACGATTGAACTTTCTTTTGTTGTTTTGTTCAAGCGCGTCCAAGAACGTTTAACCTTGTGTGCATTATATTATCCAACCAACAATGTGTATCATTTTCAAGCTTGTCTCGAATGTTGTGAAGCGTCTGTGCCACTCGCAAACTTATGTTCTACTAACTAGAGTCGTTTTGGGGTTACTTTTATCATCTTAAATGTGCCCGAATGAGACTTTTAAACTGCTTACAAATGTTCATGATAGCTCCGTTTCCGGGACGCTTGGATGATGACGTCTTCGAGGAGAACAAACGTTGCAACAAACAAAATATCCGAATCATGATTTGACAAAACAACCCAGATTTCAAATGACTGGAAATTTAAGTATAAGTTTTTTCGGATTTTTGTATTCAAGTTCATGATACTTTTTGACAAAATTCAATGTTCGTAAACGGATTGACTGGAATGCAACGCGTTCATTCTCATAACAGCGTTGTGCGAGTTTGAAAAGTAGTCCGGTAATCATAGCTCCGCCGGGTACGTTATGATACCGACTTTAATATAGAGATTATATAATATACGAGGGTTGTTCAAAAAGTTCGTGGACTGCGGCTCTATTGTTCACATTTTTTAATTTGCGTACACGATTTTACAAGAGACAAATAATGGAACATGTCCTTAACATACAGTGAAAAAATCAACACAATATGATTACAAATAACAATTCTGTGAAAATAACAACTAACAAGGGGTACGCGATCCGGCGCACGCTAATGATTTTCGTGACGTCGAAATTTAAATTAAAAATGTCTCCAGTGTGATTGTTTCTAAAAAAGGACATTTTCGAGCGTTCAATGTCTCCGGATCATATAACCATGATAACCATTTTTCTGTGTGCTATGAGAAGCGAGAATTTCGTACAATGACCTCGAGATTCGATCAGTTGGAATTCTGTCTTGTGATTTTTTAGCTCACCTGAGCTAGCTCTGTGTGAGCTTTTAGGATCGTTGATAGTCCGTCGTCCGTTTTCTGTCGTCCGTCGTTCATCCACACTTGTTCGTTAACACTCTAGCGGTCGCATTTTTGCCTCAATTATCATCAAACTTTGTCAGGATGCTTATTCAGGTAATAGCTCGGATGAGATCGAACATGGGTCATCTCGGATGAAAAACTAGGTCAAAAGAGCTAAAATGAAAGAAACTTTGTTAACACTCTAGTGGTCACATTTTTGACTCAATCATCATCAAACTTGGTCAAGATGCTTGTCTACATATTTGCTCGGACGAGTTTGAACATGAGTCATCTCGGCTGAAAAACTAGGTCACAGGATGTAGAAATAGAAAAATCTTGTTAACACTCTATTGGTCACATTTTTGACTCAATCATCATCAAACTTGGTCAGGATGCTTGTCTGGCTTATTGCTCGGATGAGTTTGAACATGGGTTATCTCGGATGAAAAACTAGGTCACAGAAGCTAAAAATAGAAAAACCTTGTTAACACTCTAGTGGTCACATTTTTAATCAATGGTCATCAAACTTGGTCAAGATGCTTGTCTAGGTAGTTGCTCGGATGAGTTTGAACATGGGTTATCTCGGATGAAAAACTAGGTCACATGAGCTTAAAATACAAAAATCTTGTTCACACTCTAGTGGCTAATGTGTTAATCCAAGTATCCTGGAAATTGATTTCTAGGTCAAGTTTGAAAACGGGTCACCTGGGGTCAAAAACTAGGTCACACTGCTCAAATATTGATAACACTCTAGTGGTCACATTTTGGACTCACCTGTCATAAAACTTGGTCATGAAATGCTAGTACCTAGGTAATTGTTCCGATGAGTTCGATGGGTCAGAATGAGCGATCTTAGGAAACCATTTTGGCCTCTTGTTTAGTAATCTCACACTTAATGGACAGTGATATTCAAGTTGTTTTCATTTATCAATTGGTGATTTTATAATATTAATTTAAAAACCACAATCGTTTGATGCTTAAAACAGAATGATTCCTCAACAGAAAAGAAAAATTTTATCAACTGACAATTATTATCTGAGTAAATCCCGGGTTAGCATTATTATCAAACAAATCAGGTGAAATACATGTAAATACAACTAATAACTACATTTATTTATTGTAAATACGCATATATGTTGAAAAATAAAATTCAATATTCTTTAATTGTCTGGTCAAAATTGAATTTGCAGACCCGATGCAGAAATTAAACATGCCGGACAGCTCGCAAACCTTTACATTCTCCTGTAGAACCTTTGCAATTGACGTTACAAAGGTCTTGACAATTCAACCCTTTCCTCCCTCGCCCCTTTCTGTCTGTAATCATGTATTTGCCGCTTTTGCATCGCTTGCTCCAGTTAAAACCTAATGACTTGCTTGCTGACTCATTGCACTTTGTTAAATTAACAACCTCATATTGTCGTATAGCTGGTTGCACAGGCTAATGAGTCATACACGCTATATTCAAAAAGAATGACAAGTCAACATGTATATACATATAATAAGGTTTTTATTTCATAATGTGCACTATGGAACATGACATGATTTATGAGTATTATAGTTCAGGATGCATATCGGACTGACCTTATGTCAGATGGATGATTAATATATGTAACTCTAAAACGTCGATGATATTTATATACATTATAAAATGTCCTTAGGACAGGTTGAATATTATATATACTATTCTCAAATGTCAGAGGAGGGAGTTCGACTTTGGTATTCCACTCGTTCACATGTGGTGTTGTATTTGTATATTAAAAGTATGTAACATCCGTGAGTTCTTCCTACGTTTATACGACAACGGTTGATTTGGCGCCTAAGACCAGCGATGTTGAAGCGACGAATTTTATGACAGCGGGACACAACGAAGTACCTGTAAACAGAAAATTAAAGGTGAGTGATCGTTAATATACCAGTAATTTTGCTAATTTTGAAGATGTCAGATCAAGAAGATATAGCTACAATTTTTGAAAAATTTGTCAGATAAATTGAACAATATTTCAACTGTCATAGGTACAACAGGGTTTATCAGAAAATAGTACAAAATTTTGATGGAAATTCTAAATATTTTAATGACTGGATAAAATCTATAGAAAAATATGCTATTTTAAAAGGTTTGGATGATAATAAAATAAATTAGTCGCATTTCAATCAAGTAAAGGGACTGTAAGCGATTTTATATGTAGATATTTGCGTGATAATCATCGTAATTCGTGGGAACAATTAAAAGAAGAAATAAGTACTAGATTTGGGGAAATTAAAAAGATTTTACATCATGAATTTTTATCTTTTGAGAAATTTAAAACAAGATTTGGGAGAAAGTGTTCAAATTTTTGGGGAAAAATTTATTAATTGTGCTGAAACCGCTTATGGAAATTATAAACTAGGAGATAATAGTTTAATTGAACTTCAGTTAGTAGAATTGTTTACGGATAATTTAGCGCATAATTATTTAAAACTTAAACTTATGAGAGAAAAAGCCAAAAACTTAACAAGAAGCAATTACTTGCGCAATGAATGAACAGAATTTCAGAGCTAGATTTTCTGCCAGAGTAAAATTTTCTAATTCTCAAAATCACGCAAAATACAATAATTACAGAGCAAATAATTCTAATCATTATTATACAAGAAATTTTTGCGTGTACTGTAAGAGACCAGGTCACCAATGTTCGTAGTTGTAGATTTAGGAAAAATGAAATATATTCTGTATTTCACCGACAAAATTTTTCACGATTTAGGAAAAATAATAGCAATAATAGTTTGAAATCAAAGATTAAGTGGCTGGAAATGTAATAATTTTGGTCATATTATGCGTGAATGTCGTAAACAAAATTTTTACGACAGAAACAAGATTAATTTTCAGGAAAACTAGAAAGTTCCTGTCACAAAGGGGTCATTGACAGGAACGATAAAATACCAAAATTTAGTATAGCATTAGCTGGAAGCCCTAATTCGTGTTTGATTAAAATAGAAAACTATAAATACAGATCGTTAGTAGATTCAGGTGCTGAAGTTTGTCTTCTGCATCGCAGAAATATATAGAAAATTGAAGAATCCCCCTCAACTTATAAAACAGAAAAATAAATTTATGTTCAGTTGACGGAAATTATTTACATATAGATGGTTATATAAATCTTAATTTTCAAATAGGGAAAACAGAAACAACTCAAAAATTCTATGTTGTTTTCTAAAATGAATAGAAATATTATTTTAGGCCGTGATTGGTTAACACAAAATGGCGTTAGATTATATTTTTGATTTAGGCTGCTTAAGAGTTAATAATACATATGTACCCCTCGAAGAAGATATTCATATTGCATCAATTGTTAGATTAAAGCAGGATGTTATTCTGAAACCTCAAACAGTTAATGTGTGCACTGCTAAGTTAAAAACAAAATCCAGGCTTGGAAAATGATAAATTATATGAATTAAAAAGTATAGAAACTGGAATGATTGCTTCTGAACCAGGTCTTATGATAACAAATTCTGTTATGAAACTTTCGGCTGATAGAAGATTTCCTATTATGATTGTCAACAATACGCATAAAACTATAAGATTAAAACGAGATTCAGTAGTTGCTAAAGTTTCAGAAGTTGAGAGCATTAACTCGGTCACAGAGGCTCTTCAAACAACTTCCCCTCTTAACAACGATTTCGAACGTGATATTCATACACCTTCAGAGCATTTTAATATTGTTAAGGACTTATTAAGGAAAAATAGAAATATTTCCGCAAATAAAGATTCTGAATTATCACAGACAGATACTGTAACCATGAAAATACCAACAGGTAATCATCCTCCAATCAAATTAAGCCCATATCGCACACCTTTAAACAATAGAAAATTGATGAGTGACGCAATCGATGAGATGTTAGATGCTAATATTATAAGGAAGAAGTCATAGCCCTTATTCATTTCCTGTTGTTATTGTCGGGAAACGTGACGGCAGTAAACGGTTTTGTGTTGATTTTTAGACAATTGAATAAAATTACAAAGCCAACATCATATCCTCTCCCATTAATTGATGATATTTTAACTCTACTAGGGTCTTCAAAATATTTTACAACACCTAGACATGCGATCAGGGTTTTGGCAAATACCCGTGCATGAATCAGACAAGGAAAAAACGGCTTTTACGACATTCCGAGGCTTGTTCGAGTTCAACCGAACACCTTTTGGCCTAGTTTCTGCCCTGGAGTTTTCCAGAAACTCATGTCACATGTCTTACAAGGTTTAGAAAGCATTTGCTGTCAGTTATCTTGACGACATTCTAATATTTTCGAAGTCATTAAATGAACATTTATCACATATACAGACAGTATTTTCAAAGCTTAAAGAACATAAATTAAAACTTAAACTGAAAAAGTGCAGTTTTATTCAGCAACAAACAAAGTACCTTGGTTTTATAATTGATCATGAAGGTATAAAACCAGACCCAGAAAAAGTAAAAGCTATTAGGTCACTTCCGGTATCCAAAAATGTGTTAAAGATGTCAGATCTTTACTTGGTGCTGCTGGTTTTTATAGAAGATTTTGCCCTAAATATTCTAAAATTGTTGAACCTCTAATCAATCTTACAAGAAAACGTGTTTTTTGTTTAAATGGACAAAAGAATGTCAAGAAAGTTTTGAACAATTAAAGAAAATGTTAACACGTATTCCACTTTTAGCATTCCCAGACCCAAATAAGCCTTATATTCTATACACGGACTCCTCAGATTTAGTGGTCGGAGCATGTTTAAGTCAGAAATGTGACAAATCTGGTATTGAAAAACCTATATACTTCTTATCTCATAAATTAAGTGAATCTCAAAGAAAGTATAGTACCATAGAAAAAGAAGCATTCAGTATTCATTATGCGTTACAAATTTTACATAATGCAGAGTTTACTATATTTACAGACCATAAACCTTTAAAATATCTTCTAGAAGCACCCATGCAAATTAAAAGAATTCAGCTTTGGGCTTTAAATATTTCTGCTTATAACTGTAAAATTGAATATTTGCCAGGAAAATTAAATTTAATTGCCGATTTCTTTTCTAGACCTCCAGCTGATGATAAAAATGCTAACAAATCCGATATTGAACTTTATGAGCCTGATATAAATGACAATGCCTTCTAAATAACAGTCTCAAATTCAAGTAATAATTCAAATAATGATAATGTACATGCTGTGAAAACTGATGAAAGCTATGAAGTAAATGCTTTTGATTCTACACACTTTAATGCCAAAGAAATAGCAAACAAAGAATACCAATTTCAAGAACCAATTGTAGAAGATATTAAACAATTCGAAAAATTAAATATGGCCTCAGAGCAAGATAAAGATCAAACTATTCTTGAACTGAAAATGTTACTACGTCACGGACAGCCAACTAAATCAGTGCAGAGCAAATATTTAGAAATTGACCAAGTTCTTTATTATCTGTCTAATGTAGATGATAATCCTAATCTTAGATTGTTTGTTTCCGCAACACTTAAAAACACCTTGTCATTACTCAATATCATTTAAATAATGGTCACCCAGGAACACAGAGGTTATTTACAACAATAAAACAAAAATATTTTTGGCCAAATATGTTCAAAGAATTGTATGAATATGTTTCTAAATGTGTTGATTGTCAGTCACGTAATCTTACAAAAATAAAAGCACCTATGGGCGAAACAAGAGTACCAATGTATTCATTCCAGACCATGAGTATCGACGTTATTGGGCCCTATGAGAAAACAATGAGTGGTAACCGCTACATTATTTGTTTTATTGACCTTTACAGTGGTTATCCCGAGTGTTTCCCTACTGCTGACAAAAGTACTGATACAATTATACATTTACTATTAGAAGAAATTTACCCTAGATACGCATGTCCATTACAAATTGTCACTGACAATGGATCAGAATTCACAAGTAATGCTTTCAAAGAAACACTTAAAGAGTTAAGAATTGATCACGTGCGTACAACTACCTATCATGCTGCCGGAAACGCAAAAAATGAACGTTCTCATCATGTCATACATGATATCTTAGCTAAAAGAATCCAGGGAAATCTCAAACAATGGGATATTCATCTTAACATGACACTAGCCGCACTTAGATTCAATGTCTCTAGGACTTCGAAGCATAGTCCATTTTATTTGTTATATAACCGTGATGCAATTCTCCCGGTGGACCTGTTGCTACAACCAAGGCAGCGCTATCATGGCGAAGAGTATCACAAAATTGCATTACAAGAACATCATAATACTTTTCTATCTGTTTATAAGAACCTTAAAAAAGCAAAACGAGAACAAGCTAGCTATGCAGATAAGATCGCAAAAGATATCAAATTTGAAATAGGCGATCCCGTATTTTATAAGAATTTTCGTAAGAGAAGCAAACTAGATGTGAATTGGAAGCCATTTTATAGAATTATGGAGAAAAGGTCACCTTTAACTTATATAATAAAAAATCAATTTGACAATTCAACAGTTAAAGTCCATGCAGAACAAATTAGGCTTGCAAATATTAATGACTGGTCAATACCAAAAGCAGATAATACAGGCAGACCAAAAAGAAATGCCACATTTGTAGTTACACCTGAAAATAGCGATACTGATGATGCTTCAGAAATACCAGAATCAGTATTACCCCAAGTTGCTAAGAATGTTAGAAAAGAAAGGTCAAATTCTGATAGTGAAGATGATATTCCATTAGCCGAATTACAGAAACATCTTCGACAACAACAACAAATTTCAAATAATGAAAATGCTCAAAGTAATGTACATTCAGAAGAAATGCAATCGCAGACTGATTCAGAATTATCAGACTCAAATTCCATACAAGTAAATAGCAATCCTCAGTCACAAGCAGCATATAATGCTATTCAGTCAGATTCAATGGCTGATGATAATGATTCGGATAATGAAATGTTTATAAACTCTATTTCTAGTAAAAAGAAAAGTATTGTAAAACCTCGATATAAAATTTCTGGTAAAGTTAATACAAAATCATCTGGTAATAATAAAAACTCAAAGCATAACATGAAAATGTTATTTCATTGTATATCTAATTTGCTGTAACAGTCGTGGACGCTATATGCTATACTAATTTTCGGTAAATTGACCTCAGGCATTGTAAATAGTAATTATGGAAAGAAGAAAATATATATGTTAAAAGAAAACAATATAAAACAAAACAGAAAATTACATTATTTAACCATAAATCTTTATATTTTTGGTGGTTGTATTCAATTATATTCATTTTCAAGTTGTTTTATTAGAAATATATCTTAGATTTTTTTTTATTATTACTTAAAATGATCGTTATTCGCTATATGTTTATTAATAGATCGGTTAATTAAAATGCATTTCAAAGTAAATGACAGCACTTAATCATGAGTTTCAAATTGATTATTTACTTTATTTCATATTAGAATAACACGTGTATACATACATGTTTCAACTGTCATCGCACAATCATTAAATAAAGTTTAAATTGGGATAAGTCTTATTGTCGAAATAAAACTAAAGTTAATAGCTTAGTTAAAACTAACAAAATATGTCTAGAAAAGTAAAAAAAATTTTAAATATCAAGTATTACATAAATAAGATACTTACACTAGAGAACATCTTTCATTGGAATTCTTATCCTATGCATTTTATGACAGTTGTCTTGTTGTTCAAATATCTGAAAAAAAAACAAAATTATGTTTATTGTATATAATATCTATTAACCGATCTGACAACGGACGAAAATGCAAAATATTGGTCTAACGATCACTTGTCGTCCAGCCAAGACAGAGAGGTGCGAGCGAATTCGCCGGTACAGTAAAACACCGCCTGACTAGAAATATTACAGTCAGCCTCTACGATGTCAAACTATGTACAACAACAACCATACAGATATAACCATAAACACCTTCTTCGATGTAAAACCATGCAGATATAACCATAAACACCTTCTTCGATGCAAAACCATGCAGATATAACCATAAACACCATCTTCGATGTACAACCATGCAGATATAACCATAAACACCTTCTTCGATGTAAAACCATGCAGATATAACCATAAACACCTTCTTCGATGTAAAATTATATGAAATAACCGTCTACGATGTTTAAGATACATAACTATGCTGTTACAGCCGTCAACAACAACAACAACAACAAAATTGTGGAATCAAATAAACTTTTGTTCCTGTCTTCAACCAGAGAAGCCGAAAACTTCCGTTTATCAATAGAATGTGTTTTTCTATGTGTTATATAAACTTAAAAACAAAAACCCAGAGAAATACTGATGACAACTTCTTATCAAAATAATTATTTGTGCGCGACAGAGATATCCAAAATAAATATCACATAAACATTTGCGAGAATCGTGCAACAGCAAACTGTTAATTTAATTATCTTTTACTCAAAAACATTGCTACATAAATGAAGAATTATAGATCTATCATCACTTTGTTGTATTGTTCAATACAAGACATTCTTTTTACAACGACGAAACAAGAACAACGTTTACAGATGTGCCGATAAATAATCGAATATAACTTTATCAACTTGTGTATAAAGTCTACGTTTACACATATAAAATACATATATATATATATATAAATTTAAAAGAATCTTCAAGAACATCAAACATTTATAAACAATTATGAGTGTCAATTTAAAATTACACTTTAGAAAGCTACATACCAACGATTTGAAATTCCCGACACGTCACGAAGACCAAGCCATACTGATGTCAGCAAGTACCTGTTACAAAAAAATATACCTGTCACAGGAAGTGATCAATGCGCATGCACAATACACGTTTTACAGGAAATAAAACACCTGGACATTTTATCAATTATCAATTGTTTATAATATTTTTTAAACTTTTTCGTATATAAATATCTTTTCTACTCTTATCATACATATAATTCTGTTAAATTTTATACCTTAAAGTTTTTCTAATTAATATTCTTAAAATAATTTGTTCTTTGAAAATTGTTAACTTATTTGTTTGTTTTTTATGTTTTCTTGATCTCTAGAAATTAACTTTTTTTTCTTTTTTTTATGATGAAATAAAGGAAATTTAATATTTATTGAAAAACTTATAAAGCTATAATATTTACCTTATGTCACTTTAATATTATTTGTAGAATAACAGTTATATTAACTGATTAAAAATTTCGAAAAGATTATCTTTACATTTAACAATAATTATTTTTTTTTACTTATTAAAAAGTTAAAACGGTAAAAACATTACAAAATTGTTGAAGTAAATTATAACTTACCCGACTGCAGTATCCGAAAACTTTTTAAAAAGTGACAAGAAAATATATTGAGCGAATATTTCCGAATATTGTTTCCTAAGGCGTTTTTCTTTTTCAAAATAAAGTAACAAAAGTCGTTAGATAACATCTCTGACCGGACATCTCTGACCGGATATTACCTTAAGGGTAAAACAGATGTCAAGTTGATTTTAGATTTTAGATTTTTATAATTTGTTAGAACGAGTTTGAAATGTTTGATATTAAATAATAACTTGTTCAATACTTTTTTTTTAAATATTTTTTTTATAAGTAATGGACGAATTGTCGTATAGCTGGTTGCACAGGCTAATGAGTCATACACGCTATATTCAAAAAGAATGACAAGTCAACATGTATATACATATAATAAGGTTTTTATTTCATAATGTGCACTATGGAACATGACATGATTTATGAGTATTATAGTTCAGGATGCATACGGACTGACCTTATGTCAGGATGATTAATATATGTAACTCTAAAACGTGTGTATTTATATACAATATAAAATGTCCTTAGGACAGGTTGATATTATATATACTATTCTCAAATGTCAGAGGAGGAGTTCGACTTTGGTATTCCACTCGTTCACATGTGTGTTTGTATTTGTATATTAAAAGTATGTAACATCCGTGAGTTCTTTCTCCGTTATGCGACAATATGAAAATGAGTGAGTTTTCGCAGTTAGATGGCAAAACTTTCCGAAAATGCGAATTTCTAGCCTTAAAATGGGCTTTTTATTGCTCAATTTACGCTTTTGACTACTGCTGCTCAAAACTTGTTTGTTTAGTCATTCAACGTCCAAATGACGTCGAATTTCGAATTTACGTCAACTAAATATATTAAGGTGTTGACCCCGATTATTCCTGACGAAATAGCCGTTCAATTTAGTTCAACATTTGTTTATATTTAAACATAGAAGGAAACTTTCGGCGTTCGCCGATGTTGCGTTGCCATGGTTATATAAGTGCACATAATTCATAAAGGAAGTGAAGGTTTAAGATAAATGTAAAACTTACTTTTAGAAATAAAGATACTCTTTCAATTCATATCAACTCAGAACTGTCGTGGACGTTTGTTCGTACACAACTTCGTGGGCTTTTTCTATCATTTTTTACTTGGTTCATAAAAACAACCTTGTTTGATATGAATCAAAATATGCTTAGCTATATTGACATCAGGGTTAACATGACATTGATTTGAATGATTTTACTATTCTATTTAATGAAAAATGAAATATTCAAATTTGGTGCGACAGACTATAACATAACATCAGGAGTTTTTACGAATGCTTATTAAACAACTATAGTTAAAATCTTTCTTACACCTTTTCGATTATATGCCTATTGTTTTTCACATGAATTTATTATTAGAAAGATATTATTTTGTTTGTGTAATATCTTTATTTCTTATTTAAATATGAAGATGAATTTCAGTTAGACATATCTATATATATTATACCTCATATGCATACGCCTTTCTATATTTGATATGATGTCATGACTTGTGGCCATATACCTTCCTCAGTTTGACCAACCAGTCCGTAAACTTGCATATTGCCCTGAAGACCATGTTTTATTTGTTAAATATACAGTAGCAGTCCTAAAATTATTCATGTGCAAACACCATCATTATATTTGTTTGTGTTTTCTTTAATTTTATCAAATTCATTCAAAAATTAACTGTACTATCTTATAAGTTTTGATTTCGTTAATTTGCCATAGATTTTCGCTTTGAAGGTAACAAGATAAGCTAACATTTTTATCACTAAGATCATCACAATAAGGTTTTGTTCATTTTTCTTAGTTTGTTTGTCCAATTAAATCTTTATTAACAATAAAAATCGAAACGTACAGAAATCACATAAATTATTCAATCTTTGTTTTACACGTCGATTATTGTATTATAGATTTGATTAAATAAGGAAAGTAATCATGAAAAAATATTTTGTCTCTAACATCAAAAATATTTATTATTTTTGTCCATGATTTTTGGCATGTGAGTTAAATTCAACCAATATTAATTAAGTATTAAAAAGTAATTCAAATAAATTGTTTAATTGTAATTTGTTTTCGGTAATGAAAAGTTGATTTCGGTATCGTAACGAGCTCCGCCTCATTATTGTTTACTACGAAGAAATGGTAATATCCTTATGCCCTTTGTGGTAGGACATGCATCTATTTTTCCATAACTTGATAGACGGGGGGATTAGATAGTCTGTGATTGCTTCTTGTTAAACTTATATGTCTTAATATGTTGCTATTGTTTTGATGTGTAATATTTAAGAAATGCAAGTCAACCTGAATCACACATAGATAGTTTATATTAAGTAAATTTAAGAGAGCAATTCGTTTGTAAAATACATAAAGTCCTTAACTAGATTCAATTTAAGAGTACAACACTTTTTTGTTTCCATCTATATGTTTATGTAGACTAAATAACAACAACAAATACTTTTATTTACAATCAGGTCACATAAATGCAACGACATGATCAAAAAGATTTTTTCTAATTGTTGGCATTTTAATTATATTTTCAAACTATATCCAATAACATAGAATAGCTATAGCCATAATGACAGTAATATAAGAGACAGGAACGGGCCAGTAGTTTTCGTATAGATACAATGTGAAGTAGCAGTAAAGTTATAGGAATAAATTGAATAGGTATTGCCTATAACAACATTGATCTGGCACTCTTGCATTTGACCATGCAGTCGGTATATCCGTAAACGTTACGATTTACTTGTAAATCGGTATGAATTTAAATATTCAATTACTAAAATGGTGTATATTAAACAGTTCTATTAGCGCAGTTGGTAAAGGGGTTTCGCTCGAAGACTGTAGGCGTAAACTGCAAGGATCGAAACCTATTCCAGCGATTTATTTATTTTTTATTTTTATTTGATTTTTAAAATTGCTATCTCTTAAAACTGTTGCAAACCTTTTTGTTGTGTGTACTATCAGTGTAGTATTTTAATAACTGCCTTTATAGCGTGCATGTGCTAAAGCATATACGATTGCATAATGTCACAAAGAGAACCGTTGAAAGGTAGGGTAATGAAATAAATATGAAATGAAATAAAAATATAATTGTGTATAAAAACACCACATAAAAGGTATTCTAAAACCAGTTGTAGTAAAACGATTTCAAATTAAATCTTGCAAGTAAATTAAAAATAAATTCATAACGTGGAGTTGGTAAGGAATTGAACCAGACGCCTTAAGATCGGTAGTCCGACATGTATACCAATACACCACACCTCTCTGACGAGTGAAGTTAACAAATATATCGAAATATTCGATAGATACTGGAGAGTAATTATTCAAATGACCTTTACGAAAGTTAATGAAGTGCCAGGTCAATAATGTTTGACAATTTCAAATCTAACGGGACAAACTGAAATCAGTACACCGTTGAGAAGTAATTGGAGAGGTCATCAGACCTCTCCACAGTGTTCTGATTGCTGGCGGCATCCATTTTTGCGTATCTGATTGTAGTGAACGAATGTCATTGAAAGCGTAAAATCATTAGGAGCAGTCTACAAAATTTTTTTGCGCATGCTCCGTTTCAAAATACGACTTAAATTACACGAAAAATTAACATCGAAGTGAACAAATCGGTACATAGAAAAATCGGAAAATATCATTTACGTTACTTAGCGCTACGTGGATGTTTCATTCCGTTTTATTTCATGCTTTCCAGTGTTTTATTACAATATATCAGATGATTTTATTCTGATAAACCACTAGTGAAATTTATAAAATATAATTTTCACTGTAGCGGACTATATCTGAATGCGGATGAAAAGAAAATCATAACCAAATGGAATAACAGGCAACAATAAATGCCGTCGCACGTGAATTTGCTTATTTAAGAAATGAAAGTCAATGTCATCATACATTATGTTAAAAATTTAACAGAACTTTATTTCAAAACTTATGATGTGACGTCATGATATAATGACGTCACAAAGGAGAATGCGCGACGTTACGTGGCAAAATCAGTAAAAAAATACTTAAAAGCACTTAAAAAGCATAAAATAAAAAGAAAATTTATTTGTTTTACATATAAGATTGAGATATATTTCATTCGTGAACACCAGCTATTATATTTTCACTCGTGGCTACGTCACTCGTGAAAATATTGCATCTGGTGTTCACTCAGTGAAATTATATTTCAATCTTACATGCAAAACAAACAAATATCCTCTATTTAATCTTTTATATTGTATTAATCGATTACCGTATTGTTTTCTGAATAGCGTTTTACTATTTGATGTTCCGATAAATAGTAACAGTGAACATTACATGTACAATATCACCATGCACTATTATATGACCGAGTGAATCGTGTACCGAAATTGTGCTGCTCCTAAAACATTTGAGCCGGTATGACTAAATAACGCAACGGGGATAACGCAAATAGCACAAACTTTACTCAAGATTTTCCTCAAATATTGTGGTTGGAGGCATGCAGTTTAATATACTGTTTATTCCAGTCAAATGTTATAAACATTTTTTAAACATTTATAAACATACTTACCAAAACATTAACCGGAAATGTGCTTATTGAATTTTATTACAAACTTTTATTTTGATACTACTTTTAATATATATACATGTGTATATCATTTATTTTAAATTTAGTTTGATGACATAACATAAATTGTTCCTTTTAGAAAAAGTACCCCTAATGCGCCGAGAAAAAAGTCCATTTCTCCGGCATATAATCATTCAAAACATTTAGTTTAAACAATATTTTATTTCTATTTTTACAACATATATATGTACAGTAAGCATATATAAACACACTGATATATTTCGTGGATTGGAAAACAAGTCAAATGTGACTTATGTAATTCCTTTCCACACATAATGTACTTGCAATATAAAATATGCACATATTTGGTTAGA